ATTAGTTATTGACCCGATTAAAGAGCACAAATGCCAAAAATAGACAAACAATTTGGGATGGAGGGAGTAAGATAGAAAGCAACATTTCCATGAACTTGAGGATTTATAAAAAGATATGCATGCAACAATAGCAAGATTGTAACACCTTATTTAGCAAGTAAACAAAATAATTGTTATTTTCTCTTGCATCAAAGTGGGGGCGGTGTGGATGTGATCACAAGTCAAACATGTGATGAACCTCTCATGGGTCTTAAATTACTAACACAATAACTTATTCAAAATTTTACTGGGATCAAACCCAACACATGATGGCCAATCATACGCACTAAAATATTAAAGTTCCCTGTTGCATAGTACATACCTACACCAAAATCCCAGTTGTCTGCCTCCCCTTCCACATTCAGGCCTCCTATAATTAAAAATTACAAGCAAGAGATAGTCAGCACTGCAACTTCCAGAACCACAACCACCACAGTAAAGCAATTTAAAAAGGAAAATTATATCTATATAATGACATCCAAGACAATATGAAGCAGCAAAAGTCAATGTCGATGCGAGGAGAAATGAGAGATTGGTTACCAATTGAACAAAATATGCTTCCATGCCTATTGACTGTCGTACATTTGTCCATCCAAATTTCATAGCAAGTTTCTAAATGATTTACCCCAAAATCACCATCTTATTCCTTTGATTTACTTTTCCAAAATAACAAGAGACTAAAAACTCCATATAGTGGTTTTGCTACATTGATCAAATGACTGACCGCAAAAATTGAGTTTACGTGGTCACCAAAATCTTACTTCGGCAAAACATTATAGAAAGTTTGCCATACAACCCGGCTTGTTCAGTTCATAAATCCTAAATGAAGAATGCTGACTTTGCCAACCTTCCAGTGACAAGCTCAACATGGAACATATATTAGTTTAACAAGTCTGAATAGTTTTTCCAAAAAAGAAATTTGTGGGATAGACAGTTTGTTTGCTTGTTTATTAGGAGTTTATGGGAGCCCCTTATGATTGTTCTGTATATCATCATCTAATCCACTAGAACCAATCATGTTCTTCTTGACACCAAAGAAAAAGATACGATTATTATTTAAGTTGAATAATTTGAACTAAGACATACATGGACACCTAAATACAGGGATTATTATCCTATAAGTTCACACTAAAATTGGCTACAGGCGCAAATTATACATCGACAAATAATGATATATATATATGTAATGAATGGATGAACGAGTAAACAAAATACAAGAATGTCATCTATCAAAAGTGACGAGCGAAGAGAGCTGTACCGAATGGGTGTTCTGATTCTCTCCCTTCTCCAAAGATATCTGCATGGACAATCCAAAATGGGAAATGCAATCATTTGTACAGCTACTGCTGCCAATTCTCATTTTCACTAAAACAACCTTCTCTTGTTGGTGCTTTTTTTAGTTTTTTAAGACACTCCTCCTTCCGTTACTTTCAAAGAAAACAAATACATATAAAAAGAAGGGGAAGAAAAAAGAAAAATAGGAACAAAGACCTAATAGCCGTGGACGTGGCCCTAGTTTGGAGTCCACGTAAATTTGTGTTCTTGTGTGCTTGATTAGATTCTTGTTTTTATTCTTATTTGTGTTTCATCTTTCACTGATCTTGGTTAGGTGTAACAATTCCTCACAACGACCTCCTAACATAGGTTATTAAAACAGGGCAACAAGTCACAAGTGCGGAAATACCAAAATACCTTTACTCCAAATTCGGAGTCAAGTAGTTAGTGTCTAGTACTTATCAGGATCCACACTACCCAACTATCATTTTTCATCAAAGAACATGCCCGTAGCGCTTAACAAGATGGCACGACAAATGTCAAAGTATTTAACATGAGAATAGCTACTTCATTTTTCATGCCTTTTATCCTTTTCCAGGCAGCCACACTGAATTCTAGAAAGTGAAAATCTGCAGTATCATCCTTTATAACTTTTCAAATGAATATAGCTCCCATTCCTTCAATGCACGATAACAAAAATATAGCCAGCAAGACATTTCAAACAATATGAGATCATAAAAGGAAGATCCCATCCTTTAAGATATACCCTCTAGAGTGAATAATTTATGAAGATGTATTAAATTTACCAAGAGAAGATCTTCATCAATTCCAAAGGATTTGCGAGCTTCTTCTAGGCGCTTTGATGTGACCTTCTCATGTTTCCTGCACAATCATCCAAAGTGGAAACTACAATAAACAAAACCAATTGCTCAAGCAAAGATTTGCACAAATTGTAAAACTCAGTGCATTATGGAATGGTGAAGTTTCACAACATAGTGAACTTCTGGTTAAGATGCTTCTTTTAATGAGATTTCGCACAAAGCTTCACACTTACTAGATTTCTTCAAATGGACCCAAAACATTTCAAATTTAAATGTGCATGCACGTGTAGACACACATCCTGGGGAAGAAAAAGACTAGTTTCCAACCTTTTCACTGTATTTTCTCAAATTAACTAACACACATTGAGAAGCATTCACTAAAGGATTCCACAACTCTTTTACTTAATCAACATGCTTAGGTGTTAATTATCTTCTTATGACCAAAGAAAAAAAGAAAAAAAAGAACTAAAAAAAAGAGGCAGCTCTGTTTTTTGTTTTTTCGAATGTTTGTGGATAGTGATGTTTAAAGGAGAGGGAAAACAAGTGATGTACCCAGAGCTCGCTGGATCTCTAATCTCAAACTCATCTGTCATAGCATCATAGCCACATATTACAACATAGTGACCTACAGAAGATTATAGTCCAGTTAGTAACAGATACAGATGTGGCATGCACAATGAATATACGGGGTTACTGGCCATGAACTCAAATATGAGATAGTATTAGTGGCAGTGAGAGGACTAGAAATAAATAATTTGGAGGAGAAAAAATGAGACAAACGCAAGATCATGTTCAACAGTTACTTCATTAAATCAGAAACAGTTAAACCCACACATTCATCTGCCCCTTTTTCTCCTACAACTCCAACTGATCCAAAATGAGTTATTTGTAGTTCATAAACAATAACGAAGTTCTCAAATTTCAACATTCCACCAACTATATATATATACAAGTCACAATAACAATCTACATCAACTTGGAAATCCAATCAATATGTTGTTCAAAGTGAGCAATTTATTTTGTCAGATTTTTCATCTTGTGTTTGATGAAAAGGAGATGACCCTTCGTCTGAGCCAGGGCAAAAAAAAGGATGATTATTCAATCAATACATATATAAATTCATATATATACTTGTATAGAGAGATTTTTAAGAGAAAAAAAAAATTATCCAAAAAAAAATACAGATAATGTGTACGCATATAACGAGATTGTGCGAGAGAGACAGAGATCGAGAGAGATTGAGAGATCGAGAGAGAGAAGAATCGATAAAACTGAGATTGGAAGACCAACCTTCAGACGGCGCTGATCTTGCACAACCTGTTTAGCACGGGCCCTAACCTCATATGGATCAATCTTGGATTGGGGCTAACTAGAGCATATACAACTCATCAATCACTGAAACGGAGAGAGAGACGGGAAGGAAGAGCTTCAGAGAGAGAGAGAAAGAGAGACGGTGGAGCTCACCTTAGGAGACGATGGTGTAGATGATGATGTAGACGATGGTGCAGATGGTGGAGACCGATCTGAATCTCTGAATCTCTGCGATGAAATCACTGAGATGAAATCGCTCTGAATCTTTGTGATGAAATCACTGAGATGAATCTCTGAATGGCTCTGATAAGGGTTTAGAGAGAGTTGAGAGAGAGATTTAGAGAGAGAAAGAGAGACAGTGGTGGAGCTTCGAAATCGTTCTGAGATTTAGAGAGAGAGAGAGAGAGAGAGCTCGAAAAGTTGGGTCTTAGTCTGAGATTCAAAATTAGGCTTTGAAAAGAGGAGACCAAGCGCGTGAGGCACAACACATTCGGAGGCGTTTCAAACGCCTCCTATTATTAAACGATGTCGTTTTGTTGAACAAATATGCGACGTTTTAAAAAACGTCGTTAAATGTTAAAAAAAAGTGACGTTTAAAAATGCGTCATTAAAAAAACGCCGCCTAAACCTCTTTTTCCTGTAGTGTTTTATGGTAGGGTGGTGCATACATAGCATTTATTTGTAGTTATAAGCCATATATCATCCGCCGAAATATTGACAATTTTGTCAAGAAATGGCTGCATTTACCATTTCTGACATGTTGTTGGCTGTTTTTTTTTTTATTTTTATTTTTATCGGCAAAACGAAATCTTTATTGATGAAACATCTAAAGTATGAAAAATTACATCAATAAAGAGGAGGTTGGAGCTAAGCAAAAGCTCCAAGCACCAGTTGGTGAGAAACCAACAACAGAGAGCAAAAGAGAAAAGAAACAGGTATAAAACCAGACAAAGCCTTGGATCTAAGACCCAAGCAGATACAGTCCAGCTAAAGCCAAGCATTGAGAGTGAACCTGGTGAGCACCAACAAAACCCCACTTTGACAGGCTAAGTTAGCACTAAACAACTGAACCAATGGAAACCCTGCAAAGTTAGACCACCACCGCAGACATAGCCTTCCCGAACAATTCGACAGAATCATAAAGCAGCCTACCCAGGCCAAAAACCTCCCACAGGCACACACCTTCAGCCTGCAACAGAGCAGCAAAACAGCACATACACCCAGCAGTAAAATACAACATATAACAACATACCAACCCAGCATACCACCCCAGCAGATTAGCAATACACCAAACCAACCCAGCAAAGCATACAGCACACAGCAGGACAATACACAATAATACCCCAGCATACCAATCGGGTCTATGCAATTATAGCAGACCCTCCCAAGCACTCCCACATTTGCCTCAGGTTAAACACAAAATCCTGAACTGAAAAATTATAATCACTGAAAACTGGTTTTAACCAAAAAGCAATCCTATATTTAATTAAATCACAAAGATCCACCAAGTTTGAGGTTATTGATCTAAACACACACTCATTCCTGCACTTCCAAATAGACCACATCACAGCCAATGGAATCACCCTCCAGATCTTCCTTTCTTTCTTCTTTAACTTCTCCCCTGCCCACCACATTAGTAGACTCTCCACAGATTCTGGAATTGCAGCTTGGACATCCCACCAATCCAGCATTTCAGTCCAAACCCTCCACACAAAGGGACACCAAATTAATACATGATTTACTGTTTCATTAGCACTACCACAGAACACACAAGCTACAGAAGCACTTGGGTTGATCACCCCCACTTTTTGCAGAAATTCCTTGGACTTAAGTCTTTTTTTCCATGCAAACCAACCAAAGACCTGCACCTTAGGAGGGATATAGTTAAGCCAAATCAACTTGGTAATACTCATGGTGGCACCCGTATTAACCACACCCCCCCTATATAAATCTGCAACTATTAGTACCCCAACTGATGAAGCTGCCCATGTAGGCTGATCAACGCATTCTGGACACACTGCAGGAGCCCCCTGCAGATAATCAAGAAGCCTAGCCAACTCTTGCTCCTCCCACACATATAACCCCCTTCTAAACTCAAAGGACCAGCCACCCACCATGCTTTTCTTATCAGATAAACTTCTTAAAGATTCATTTTTATCCAAAGACAACCTATACAAGATTGGAAATTCATCATTCAAACAAACAGGCTGACACCAAATATCAGACCAGAATCTGAGCCTCCACCCATCCCCAACCTTCAACTTAAAATTATTCAAATAAAATTCCTTGAGACTACTACATTGTTTGGCTACAGAAATAATTCCTTTCCATACTGCTGAGTGACTACTAAATAGACTCGGAATTCACCCATCAACCTCCAACTTATATCTGCTACAAATTACTCTCTTCCATAAAGCATCTTTTTCACTACCAAACCTCCCCGACCATTTAATCAACAAACACTTATTCACATCCCTAATTTTTCTGATACCCAGCCCACCTTTCTCCACTGGTTGAGACAAGACCTTCTACTTGATCATATGGATTTTTCTTTCCATTTTAGACCCACCCCACAAGAATGTAGCTTGAATCTTCTCCAACTCTTTGGCTACCCCTTCAGGCATCTTAAACAGCGATAGGTAATACACAGGCAAAACTGAAGTTACCGATTTGACTAGAGTTAACCTCCCCGCAAAGGACAATAACTTCCTCTTCCAACCAGCCAGCTTGCTTTTGACTTTATCCACCACTGGTTTCCATGTAGCTTTCTTCCTTGGATTAGCTCCTAATGGCATCCCAAGGTACTTTAGAGGTAATGACTTAGTTTTACAATTCAACACAGCGGCAAAACCATCTAACATCTCCTTGGACACATCCACACCACAAACAACACTCTTGTGGAAGTTTATTTTGAGTCCCGACATAATTTCAAAGCACCTAAGCACCCTTTTCAACTTCCTCACTTCATCCACCTGGGCTTCACAAAATAATAATGCATCATCTGCAAACTGGAGATGCGTTAACAACACACCATCATGGCCTACCTTCACCCCTTTTATTAAATCTAACTGGGAGGCTCTGCTTAACAACATATGTAAACCTTCAGCCGCAATATTAAACAGGAAAGGGGACAAAGGATCCCCTTGTCTGAGACCTCTTTGAGGACTGAACTCTTCTGTAGGAGATCCATTAACAAGCACCAAGAGCCTAGCAGTTGTAACACACTCCTTAATCCACTTGATCCACTTATCCCCAAACCCAAAATTCGATAACATAGAAAAAAGGAAGCCCCAATTAGTAGAATCATATGCCTTCTCAAAGTCTAATTGTACAATTAACCCCTTCTTTTTGGCTTTCTTCCATCCGTCAACAACTTCATTAGCTATTAACACCCCATCTAGAATATTTCTTCCACTCAAAAATGCAGACTGAGATTCGCTAATGATATGAGGCATTACAAATTTCAGTCTATTAGCCAACACTTTAGCTATTATCTTATATATAGAGCTCACCAAGCTTATAGGTCTATAATCAGAAAGCCCTAGAGGATTCTCCTTCTTAGGTATAAGAGTTATGAACGAACTATTTATACCCTTCACCAGCTTACCATTGTTTTGAAATTCTTTCACAAAATTAACCACATCATCCTTCATGACTTTCCAAAACTTCTGATAACACATAAAATTAAAACCATCCGGTCCTGGTGCCTTATTCCCATCACAATCCATCACTGCTGCTTTGATTTCTGCTACTGAAAAATCTGCTTCTAACCATCCAAACCTCACCCTGCCTTCCACTGATGGGAAACAACCCCCTAGCACAGGTCTTGATGACCAATGCTCTATGTACAGATTTTAAAAATGTTCGAGCACCTTGTTCTTCACCTGACCCGGATCTTCAACCACCACCTCTCCATCTAATATAGAATTTATTTCATTTCTAACTGTTCTGCATTTTGCAACTACATGGAAGTATCTTGTATTTTTATCCCCTTTCATTGCCTAGGTAAGTATTGACTTTTGCAGTCATAACCATTCAACCATCCTACTCAACCTCTACATCTCAGCTCTGACTTCGCTTCTCCTACCTTTTTTAGCACCATCGAGTTCTCTACCCTCAGCCAGGATATCAAAACTGTGTAGTTCACCCTCTGCTGCCTTCAATTTATTATGTACATTACCAAAAACCTCCACATTCCAACTTCTAAGGCCGCCTTTCAAGATCTTCAATTTTTGAGACAGTATAAAACCAGCCCAGCCAACTACACTGGACTCTTTCCAACTCGACTCCCAGAACCGCTGAAAATCTTTGTGTAAAAACCAAGCATTCAATACCCTAAAGGGTTTTGGTCCCCAGTCTCTCTCATCCTCCATCAAAAGAAGAGGACAGTGGTCAGAGACCAGTCTAGGAAGGCCCCACAGCTTAAAATTGAACACTTCAAGCCACTTTGGGTCTACAAGAATTCTATCTATTTTGCTCCACTTCTCACCAGTACAAGAATTACACCAAGTGAACCTCCTCCCGAGTAATGGTAAATCAGATACCTTACACTTATCAATAAGTTCATTAAATTCTTGCATACCTCTATCTCTTCTCGAACACCCTCTCATTTCCCCAATCTACCTAATCTCATTAAAATCCCCTCCTAAACACCATGGATTAAGAAAATCCTCCTTTAGCTTCAACAAACACTTCCACAGATTCCCTCTAGAACCCACATCATTAGGAGCATAAATGTTAAGAATAGCACACTGAAATTGATTAAAGAGAGTACCTGATAGTAATATAAACCTTCTGTTGCTGCAGCAATCCTTAACTTGGAATATATCTGGATCCCAAATACACAATAAACCCCCTGCAGAGCCTATAGCATCCACCACCATATACTCCATTTTTCCTTTAGCCCACACTGATCTGACTTCTTCCTCTGTTAACTCTGATTTTTTTGTCTCTTGGAACAAAGCAATATCTACTTTTCTCTCATTCACAATCTTCTTAATCTTGCATCTCTTCTCCTTCCTTCCCATCCCCCTAATATTCCATGATAAAATCTGCATAAGAAAACCACCATTTCACCTAATTTCCCCCCAGCTGGTAAACCCTACTCCCCCCCTCTCACCCCACCTTCAATTCGCTCCATATCCTTCAATTCAAGGCCCACTATATTCTCCAGCACCTCCGCCCTCTTCCCATTCAACTTCACCCCGAGGAGTTCCCCCAATTTCAGAGTAGCTTCAGCCTCATTAGGGACAATCCTCCCTTTATCCACACCACCCTCTATCGATGCAGATAGAGACGATGCCGCCGCTGCTGCACGCCAATCTGCAGCCTTGTGCCGAGCCGAACCTGTTGCCGCACCTCTACTCCTAAATTTTCTCATTAAATTAGCAGACCTTCTTCGAAGCAAATGCGGGTTGTATTTCTTGA